CCAATATGTATGTAAATTTTTTAAAGAAACATACACATGCCTGATTGTTCTTGTAGATTCACATAAATATTTGGAAGGCACTTATTGGACACCTACCGTCTGACAGTTCTTCAGTGGCTCCGAGAATAAAGCACTGGGTAAATGGACACTGCCCTCACATTTGTGAAATATGAAATGTAGGACATGGTGAACAGGGAACACATCATACATGAAATAATGATCACATCTGCTTTTGTTGACACTTAACTAGTGTCTTGATGTAATATATTAAAAGTACAGAAACCTCGTGTTATTGCACTCTGCAGGTATTAGCAGATTTGCACATGTTTTTTACACATTGAAGGTCTGTGGCAATCTTGTGCTGAACAAGACCACTGGCACCATTTTTCTCTCTTTTAAAAAAATTTTAAGAATATATTTTATTTTATTCAATGTAATCAAAATATTATCATCTCAACACAATTTTAGGAATGATTGGGATATTTTATATTCTTTTTATCATACTAACACTTTGAAATCTGGTATGTGTTTTATGCTTACAGCACATCTTAGTTCAGACTAGTTACATTTTAAATGCTCGCTGGCCATACAAAGAGGCTACCATGTTGGATAGCGCAGGTCTAGATTTTTAAAGTTGAAGCTAGAGCACTATGCGGGGGAACTCAAAAAACTCCAGAATTTTTGGAGGGCGGGGCCCTTGTAGTATAGGCATCCCCCGCTAAGTAAGTTTTCTAGGAACCCATTGGCATCAGTGTACCAGTTAGTGTTGTTGCAAGAGACTGCTGGTACCATTTTTCTAATGGTAGGTGCTCACTTTGTGTCTCTGTGTCACATTTTGGGAGTTCTTGCAACATTTAAAATTTTTCATTATTATTAAATCTGTCATGGTGATCTGTGATCAGTGCTGTTTGATGTTACTGTTGTAGTAGATTAATGTACATCCTTGTCAACACTTGTTATCTTTTCTTTTTTTAAATTTTTGTAGAGCTGGGGTTTCACTGTGTTAGCCAAGGTGGTCTTGAACTCCTACCCTCAAGCAAACCTCCTGCCTTAGCTTGCCAATGTGCTGTGCTTATTAGCATGAGCTACCACATCCAGCCGTCCTTTGACTTTTTAACAAGAGGGACCCTACTGGGTGTGCAGCAATACTTCATTGTGATTTTTATTTGCATTTCTCTAATGATTAATGATAGCAAACATTTTTCATATACCAGTTGGCTATTTGTATGTCTTCTTTAGAAATATGTCTGTTCAGGTCCTTTGCCCATTTTTAAATTGGGTTATTTGTTCTTATTGTTGTTGTTTTTTGCTATTGAGTTGCATGAGTTCCTCATACATTTTATCTATTAACTTCTTATCAGATATATGGTATGTAAAAATTTTTTCCAATTCAATGGGTGGTCTTTTCATTTTGTTGATTGTTTACTTTGCTGTACAGAAGTCTTTTTAGTTTTATATAGTTCCACTTGTTTATTTTTGCTTTTGTTGCCTGTGCTTTTTGTCAAAGCCAAAAAAATCATTGCCAGGACCAGTCATAGAGCTTTTCCTGTATGTTTTCTTTTAGGAGTTTTACAGTTTCATTCTTATATTTAAGTCTTTGATTAATTTTGAGTTGATTCTGTGTATAGAGTAAGAATCCATTTTTCTTCTTTTGTGTATGATATCCAGTTTTCCCACCACCATATATTGAAGAGACTATTCTTTCTTCATTATGTGTTTTTGGTGCCTATGTTGAAAATTAGTAGCAACATTTATTTCTGTACTCACTATTCTGTTCCATTCATTTTTATGTCTGTTTTTAAGTCAGTACCATACTGTTTTGATTACATAGCTCCGTAATATAATTTGAAATCAGAAGATATGATGCCTGTGTTTTCTATGTCTGCAAAAAACTGCCATTGAAATTTTAGTGTAATTCATTAATGTAATGAATCTATGGATAATTTTAGGTAGTATGGAGTTTTAATAATATAAATTATTCTAATTCACAGACATGGGATCTTTTCATTTTTTGTGTGTCTTCTTCAGTTTTTTCATCAATGTTTTATAGTTTTCAATGAACAGATCTTTTACCTTTTTGGTTGTTGGTGGGAATGTAAATTAGTATAACCATTATAGAAAATAGTATGAGGGTTCCTCAGAAAATTAAGCATAGGACTACCATATGATTCAACAATCCCACTTCTTGGTATGTAGCCAAAGGAAATAAAATCACCATACCAACAAGATACCTGCGCTGTCATGTTCATTGCAGCATTATTCACAATAGTCAAGTGCTCATTAATAGATGGATACAGAAAGTGTTGTATATACAAAGGGTACCTAAAAAAAAAAAACCTGGAATTTATTTATTTAAAAATTGTGTAATCTTAAATGTTTAGACTTCAGTCACCTTCAAAGTACTCTCCATTTGATGCAATACACTTATTGAGACAGTTTTTCCACTGCTCAAAACTGTTTTTGAACTCGTCCATTTTGGTGCCTTTTCGTGCTTCTGCCATTTTTTGTTTCACCTCTTCCACATCAGCAAAACATTTCCCTTTGAGGGATTGTTTTTCATTGGAGAAACAACAAAAAGTTACCCAGGGCAAAGCAGAGTGAATAGGGAGGGTGGGACACAGGGATCATGCCAATTTTGGTCAAAAACTGCTGAACACTCAGCATGGTATGGGCAGGTGTACTTTTAAATCACCCATCATGAAATGGACAAATGCGTTGAAAGAATCTCCAAAAAAAAAAAAATTCACTTAATCTGAACACAGCCTGTCACAATGCTATCTGGTAAATTGATGCCGGTGGGTTCCTAGAACACTTAGCGAGGAAAGCCTGTACTACAAAGGGCCCTCCCTCCAAAAGATAATTCCATTTTGGGGGGCTCCCCTCATATGTATCTACACACACACGATGGTATATTATTAAACCTTAAAAAGAAGGAAATCCTACAACTTGTGACAACTTGGATGAATCTGAAGGAAATTATTCTATGTGAAATAATCTAAACACAGAAAGATAAATACTGCATGATCTCACAAGTGGAATCTACCAGAAGAAAAAAAAGGTTGTTGACCACATATTAACAGAGAGTAAAATGATGGTTACCAGAGGATAGGAACTGGGGGAAAATGGGAGAGATTGGTCAAAGGTGCAGACTTTCAGTTATAACATGAATAAGTTCTGGAGATCTAATGCACAATATAGCAACTATAGTTAACAATAATGTATTCAGAGCAGATCTCAAGTGTTCTCATCCCCTTCCCCATAAATAAAGGAACTATGTGAGGTGATGGATATGTCAAGTAGCTTGACTCAGGTGATTGTTTCACAGTGTATACATATATCAAAAGATCACACTGTATCCTTATATGTAGAATTGTTTTTCTATTATACCCAAATGAAGCTTGGGGAAGGGGAAAATAGAGCAAACAGTTCTAAAACTGTTGCATATCCAGAATGTCTAAAGTACATATTTTAAAAGTTTCTTTGAGCCAGTTTTCCCTTGTGTTTGATTTCAAGTCTCTTGGAATGCTTCTTACCCAGTCACCATTTTGGTGGTGGGAGTTGGTGGGGAGGGTGGTCTAAGTCATGTGACTGGTAGACTCCAGCTCTGAGGTTAGGTCCAACTCTTGAGGTTTCAATTCCAACCTCCCCAGATTGTAAATGTAGTTAATATGTCAGTGACTCAATTTTCTCATCTGCAAAGTTAGGATGCAAATAGATTGTTGTAATATTAAATGAGGTAGTATGGGTGATATGTTTAGTCAATGCCTGAAATGTTTTATGTTCTCACTTCATGTAAATTGCACATGTCATGCTTAGCATCTTCCTTACTTTCTTCTCCCTTCTTACTCCAGCTGTGTGACTTTCTCTGGTCTCCAGCAGCACCATGATGTCAGGGACATCTACAGGGTTTTGTATTTTCTGGCATGTGTGTATGATACAGTAGGGAACCTACCTGTTCTGGAGAGTAAGCTCCAAAGATTTGAGCGTCTCTGGTGACCTGTCATATTCACTGACTGCCAGCTCTCTCAGATGCTAGCAGTTTGTCATTGACTGTCCTTTGCAGAACTGAAGAGAAAAGGGGACAATATTGTTTCACAGTACAAACCCTGGAATAAGACAGAAATATTGTTTTTGTAAATAAACTTTGAGTAGGACAGAATTCTTTTTGAGTAAATAACCATACTAGCAAAATGACCACCTAAGATGGTATCTTTCAAACCTTTCTGACCACAATTCACTGTAAGAAATTTTATATCAGTTCAAGTTCATATGTGTATGTTCACACTCAGAAATAGTTTTACAAAACAAAGCATACTCTTACTACCTATAATGCAATATTTTCTATCCTGCTCAAGTCAGTGAATTATTGTGCATGTCATTCCATTTCATTCCTTTCTAATCTACAAAAAAGATCAGCAGTTTGAAAACTACTTGCCTAAGAGATCAATGCACCTAATCAAGGGCAGGGCTGTGAATAAGAATGAAACAGAATGTTCTTCGTCTCGACATTTTAAATTTTTTTTCAGTAATTGTCACTATCTTGTATTTTTTAAAAATACAACAACAACAACAAAACACTAACCAAGAAAATATAATTTGTGATTTAGTTCTTACTACACTTTAGAAAAAGATAGCATCATTTTTCCTTTTAAGATTTGTAGTCATTTCTGTCCAGCAAAGTAGTGGGCAGGATTACCAGCAACTTAGTTGTGGGTATGAGTCAGTTCAATGCAGCCAGAAAAACCCGTGTCTACTCTGGCTATGCCGTTATTCCTAGGTTCTCCTGTCCTTCATCTGTGGGAGAATAATACTATCTATACTCCCCCCACCGCCCTATACCCCAGGGTTCTTTGAGGACCAACTGGGATTACATATTTGAAATTACATTTTAAACTAAAGTGCTCTTTACAAATATAAAAGCTTTTATATTTGTTTTGTTTTATATCTGTTAGATTCTATATATGTAACCCTTTCCTCCTTTTAAAAAAAAACCTTTCTAGATTTCTCAGCTGAATATACTGATTACTCTTTTGCTGGGAGAACTCGCACCTGGAGACAGGCAGAAGATCATGACAATTTGTACCATAGATGTCCATGCCAGAGATGTGGTGGCAAAACTTATTTCTCAGAAGGTAAGTTGTTGGTAGAAATTTTAGGTGTTTGTTATTGTTTCTTGAGAGTGGTGTTTATTGTCAGAGTAGTTCCAAGAAAGTCATAGCTCTTTAAAAGTCTGTATATTTTAACGAGTCCTGAAAAGCTGTAGTTGTTTTGAATGTGTTTGGTTTGAGTTAGCTAATATATTGTCCTGATGGGAGTTCTCCCAAGAGATACTCCAAAGAGTTTTGCTAGGCTAAGAACCACAGATCTTCCAAAATATTAACCCAGCTGGAAGCACCAAGAGAAGTCACATGTTCATCTTTCTTTGTATACTCATCCTGGGCCACTAGCCTGTGAGTCTCCCCTCAGTGACTTACAAACAAACTATGGCAATAAGCTTACCTGTAAGTCATTTAAACCTTCTCTGTGTGTCTTTGATGCATTTCACATTGAAGAAAGACATGTTGGTTGTGATTCGAGGTTGTTGCTTGAGTCTTTTCCTTTCATGGCTGAATAATTTACTTTCTCATAATAAGTTATTTTCTAACCCTTTTAGTGCATTAATAACTTTCCCATCTCTTTAAAAAGTCCACATATCTATTAGATGCTGGCAGTGATTAACACAAAGGGAAAACCGTTGATGAATCTATTGACAGGGAGCTGAGATCATGTGTTGATTGTTATGTTCTGATTTAGAAAAAATAATAATAATAAAATAATATAAAAGGAGAATTTTCCCACCTTTTTTCCCAAAATATATTCCTATTTACAAATGTCAGAAATATGCTTGTCTACTGAAAGGCGTTGCTCTGACAGGCATACCCCCCAGTTCCTCCAAACCTTTCTTCTGGTAGTAACACAAGGCAGTTCCCTTCACAGTTCGTTTGCGTGTATGTATTGTGAAATGTTTTCTGTTGTTTTTCTACCTCTTTCCTAATTTGTTAAATTCAAAGTGAATTTTAATTCTCTCCATAAAGTGCATGACAATGTTTCTTCCTATGAGCTGGAAGCATATATAAATATTCCTTGATCTAGCTTCGGGATCATTAGTGAGCAATGTTTTTTATTGCTAGTCCAAGACTGTTCCTTGCAAAACAACACTTACCCTGTATTCTCATTTTCATAATGAACTGTTGGTAACTACTCCTTGAACATGACTTTGTACTTTCTTATATATTTGATTCTGTTTTTATCAGTTTGGTGATTTGCTTGCAGTAGGATTGTTTTTTAAAATGTGTCTTGGGCAACCCCCTGGGGTCCCCTCCTGCTGTGGGAGCTTTACTGTCCTCTTAATAAATCCTGCTTTAAAAAAATGTGAAATGTATCTTTATTTTGTGCTAATAGAAATACTTTATCTAATTCTCAACTATCTGAAATATATGGCTATGCAATGCTGAAACCTATGTAGTTGCCAGTTGACAATAATTTTGGTAACTTCAAGTGATTCTCAAGAAACTCTAGGGTCACATGCACCTTTGAAAGAGGTGAGGAAATGTTTTTTATTTTAATTGGAAAAGGAATTAGGTAGAATTGGGTAGATGGGAAAGAATAGCAATGAGAACATACTGTTATTTGATGTGATGAAAAATGGACTAGAAAATCCCTGTACTAAAAGCAGACTGGTTTTAGAGAGAACTTTGTTGAAAGTGTAGTTTATGCCTCTGATATGAAGAAATTATGTGTCATTTTAATACAGATAATGTATTTTTCCATCTGACTTCAGTGATACGCATATAAAGTTACAAATGTTACCTAATTCTCTGGGGTGGTTTGTAAAAGGGGAACATGATTATTTGAACAAATTGATATTGTTTTACATAAAAGCCAGTTTAAAGTGAAGACTTTTATTACACATATATTTTTGATTAAGTATTCAGCCATTATTTGCAATTCCAATTTGCAATAGTATGTAAGAGTTTCCCTATTTGTGAGAATTTTAGAAATAAAATGTGAGCCCCTAAGTTGATTAGATTAATAAATGCGTTGCCTCAAAACTATCAGTGTCCTACATGTAATGATTATGTAATGATTTTAGGTTATCAGTCCCCAAGCTTTTGCTTGGTTATCTCAACTTCGTCACCGGTGGGAGGACACCCAGAAACACTGCTTTGTTAATATTTGTGATGCCCAGTTCCAGTACTTCTATGAATACTTAGGAAACAGTCCTCGACTAGTGATCACACCTCTAACTGACAGGTAACAATTGGAAGCTCGAGTCAAATGGGAAAAACCAAGCCCAAAATTTCCTCTAGCACGGACAGAGAATGAAAAGGGAAGAAGGAGGGGAAAATGGTGAATAAACTGGTCAATAATAACTAATTATGTAATCTAATGAATGTTGAATTTTAGTTAGAGACAAGATAAAGAGAACTGAATTAAAGATAATTGCAGAGGCTATAAAATGTACAAATGATGAAATCATGAGTGGATTAGTATGACTCAAGGCGCTTTTTGTTTTGTTTTGTTTTTTCTTTTTTTGAGTTGGAATCTAACTCAGTCACCCTGACTGGAGTGCAGTGGCAAGCTCACAGCTACCTCAGCCTTGATCTCCTGGGCTCAGGCGATCCTTCCACCTCAGCCTCCTGAGTAGCTGGAACTATAGGCACGTGCCACCATGTCTAGCAAATTTTTTTTTGTCTGCAAGGTCTTGCTATCTTGCCCAGGCTGGTGTCGAACGCCTGGGCTCAAATGATCCTCCCACCTTGGTCTCACTAAGTGCTGGGATTACAGATGTGAGCCACTGCACCTGACCAAGGCAGCTTTTTTTTTTTAATCACCGAGCTCATTCTGCCCAGTTGTCTACAGCAAACATCCTGATATCAGGATCCATCACTACCTCTCCCCACTCCTCATTGCATCCCTTTATTGGAAGTGTGAAAATAACTAGGATCGCCTATGTTCAAATTCATTTTCGAAGAATTTCATACAGTAAAAGGAAGAGAAGAAGGAGAATGTAAGATTCATGAACTGATGGAACAAATACTTATGAAGTACCATACTAAGTACTGTTCCAGTGCTGGATAGACAGGTCTGTGCTGTCACAGGGAGTACTTTCTAGTTGAGTGTAACATATGAGTGGGGATGAAGAGAATCAATGAACAATTAACAAAGTTATTTTAGGCAGTCATATAGGCTATAATGTGTTAAAAATTATCTTGAAGGGAGAGCCTACTGTAAATTGGGTAAGGATATTTGAGCCAGACCTAAATGATGAGAAACCAGCTATGCACAGATCCTAGAGCAGAAATCTTCAGACAAGCTTCTATAATCATTGTACAATTTCTGTGTGTGTCTAATTCAGTTCTTTACTTTGTGTCTAACTAAAAGCATTCACTGTCTTCATTAGTGAGTTAATCTATGTACTGCTTTTGGTGTGAGGGATTAAAATGTGTAGCTTGACAAAATCACTTGAGAATCGTCAAAAGTGCAAATGTGAGGCGTCTACAGTCTTTATGCCATCACGAATAGGGAAGAGGGGAAGGGAAGGAGTATTTTAAAGTTTGGCATTATGTGAGGACTGCTAGTTTATTAACTTCTTAATTTAAAAAATTGACATGTAGTTTATTTGGAAGTTAAAAGGAAGATGAATGCTCATTTTGATAGTGTGAGTGGTGTCGGACAAGATGTTTATATCTCATTTACATTTTATTCTTTGGATTTTTTACTAATTGTTTACATGAACATAATGATGCCTTTTGAACACATTCATTATGTCTTATTTGATGTTGACCATCGCTTTGTGAGGTAGGTGGGGCAGATAATGTCTCTTTGTTCTATATGTGGGCAGGTGCAGAGACATAGGCCAACTAGCCTGTACCTGATAGACTTGGGCTGGAACACAGGTGTATTGGTTAGGGAGATACAGGCTAAACTGCTGTTGTGGAGCAATCCCAAAATACAATGGCTTAAATAACGCAAAGGTGATGTCTCACTTGTCTAACAGACCAGAGATGAGCAGTCCAGCAGCTCCAAATAAACATGGTTTCCACATTTGTTTTAGCCAGTAGAAAAAAGGAAAAAAGAAGGCCCACATCACATGTTTCCAAGGAGGTATCTTAAGACTGTTACACATCATTTCTGCACACATCCCATTCGTTGGAGTTTAGTCACTTGGCCACTCCTGACTGTAAAGAGGATAGGAAATGTAGTCTGGATGTATTGGCAGCCATTTGTCTAGCCAAAACTCAGAACCCCTGGAAAATAGTACAAGAAGATAGTCTCTACTAGTGCTCTGATTCCTAGGTCAGGAGTCTTTCCACTCCAGGTCATTGTAAGAGGCACTTAAACATGCAATGGATATAAAACAGGGGTCCCCAACCCCTGGGCGGCAGACTGGTACCAGTCTGTGGCCAGTTAGGAACTGGGCTGCATAGCAGGCGGTGCGCGGGCGGGTGAGCAAAACTCTGTCTTCTGTCAGATCAGCGGCGGCTTTAGATTCTCATAGTAGCACAAACCCTATTGTGAACTGCACATGCAAGTATCTATGTTACATGCTCCTAATGAGGACCTGATGTCTGATGATCTTGCCCCCTACCCCCAATCCATGGAAAAATTGTCTTCCACAAAACTGATTCCTGATGCCAAAGAGGTTGGGGACTGCTGATATAACATATAGAAGTACTTTTCATTTGTATCATTAATTGCTCTATTTGCATATAGTACTTTGAATTTTTAAAGGCATTTACTTTTGACTTCACATATTCCAAAAATTTGTCTCATTTTAAGGAGGAGAAAACTGAGTTATGTTGATATCCAAAGACTTATTTAACATTAGTATCTGATGATTGGCAAAGTATGCATTGGTCCCTGGTCTCCTGACCTCCATGTGCTGATCATTCCATTAGAGCGCTTGTCCTTAACAAGACAAAAATAATTTATTAACCTGAAGAAACCCCAAATAAAGAATATAACCATTTGAGGTCCTTGCCATTTGCTGGTCTTTCCTTCTTTTATAAGCATTCTGCCACTTAATGATTTTCTAAGAACCTGTGAGTCTTTCCTGCAAATGTAAGTATTATGGTAATCTAAGTGCATACAGCAACACATTCAAAATAAATTCCTAATAAATTTTAAAATGTAATCGTCTCTTTATGCTTGCCTTATATATTGAAATGGGTATATATTATTTGTATACTATGTATTTATATAAATTATATATCTAATCTCTTAAAATATTTATTAAGTAGCAGTTTAGTGCAATGTCTAATTCGTTCATCATCCAAGATATATCTTTTATTTTTGTTTAAATATGAAACAATTTTAGATGCTGTCTGCCATAGTAATAGTATCTTTACCTAGAAATATCCAAAATTGAATAGCATTGCAAATCAAATGTTATTTGTATTCAGATATGCAGCTCTTAGGAAATAAGACTGAGAAATAAAGCAATGCATTCTTTTCTAGTATTTTTAAGCAGTCAACCCAAACATAAATTTGATATAAAATATTCTGACTCATTGCTGCTGTGAACAAATCAGAAGTATAGCAATATTTCATACTGCTACCACATTATAGACCTTGACTTCTTAAACTTTTTAAAAATTGATTTCCCCTAATGTTTTATAGAAATTTATTTTGTTATTTTAAAATTTCATATTAGACTGTACTATTTGTATTTTCTACTACTTCAAGGTGTTATATTACTTTAACTCAATCACTTCATCTAACTATGAGTGGGGCTCCTGCTGGCCCAGCCGGTACAGGGAAAACAGAAACCACCAAAGATCTCGGCCGTGCCCTTGGCATGATGGTTTATGTATTCAACTGTTCAGAGCAAATGGACTACAAAGTAAGTCAGTAATAAAATAACGTATAAAATGATGCATTCTAACAGCACAATTCCTTACTGGTCATGAGTCAACATAATAGCTTAAAACCCCCTTCTGTTAAATTCTGAATGCTTCACTCCCTCATTTAGTCCATAGGAAATATCTACAAGGGACTGGTGCAGACAGGAGCTTGGGGCTGCTTTGATGAGTTCAACCGCATTGCTGTGGAAGTTCTTTCCGTGGTGGCCGTGCAGGTGAAAATGATTCATGATGCCATCCGGAACAGGAAGAGCAGGTGAGGGGCATGTGACTTTTCCCTCACTATGGATTATGGAATAATGCAGGTAACCTCAACTTCTCTGTCTCATGACATGACTAAAGTAAGACTCTGGTTAATTTTGAGAAATTATTTTGGATAGACTCCCAATTTTTATTAGTGATTTCTAAGGGTTGAATATAGCACATGTATATTACATTACCTTAATCGCTTAAAAAAGAGACAACTTCTAGGATGCTAAATCCAGTGATCAGTTATCAGTCCTTGTTTGACCTTCTGGCAGCATCTGACACAGTTGGCCATGCCCTGCTAAGTGACACACTAACTCCATGTGGGTCGTAGGACAACACCATCTCTCCTCCTTTTCTCTACCCTCACAGCAGCTTCACTGCTAATTTCTTCTCATCTATAAAATGGAGGGAAGAAGAGTACCTGCCTGGTAGATTACCATGGTCATTAAATGTAAAGGACTTGGGCAAGTGTCTAGCACACAGTAAGCACCATATCAGTGTTTGCTATTTTATATTGTTATTTTCTGACCTATTAATATTGGACATCATAGGGTTCAGTCCTTAGACTTTTTTTCTCTATATTTTCTCCACTGGTGATTTTATCTAGTCCTGTAGTTTTTAAAAACCATCTCAGCTGAGCATCGTGGCTCACACCTGTAATCCCAGCACTTTGGGAGGTGCAGGTGAGAAAAATGCCTGAACCCAGGGGTTCAAGACCAGCCTGGGCAGCCTGGTGAGACCTCATCTCTACAATAAAAAATAAATCGATAAGTAAATAAATAAATATTAGCCAGGTGTGGTGGAATGTGCCTATGATTACAGCTACTTGGAAGGCTGAGGCAGAAGGATCACTTGAACCCAGCAGGTCGAGGCTGATGTGGTCATGAGCATACCACTGCACTCCAGCCTATGCAACAGAGTGAGACTCTGACTCAAAAAAAAAAATCTCTGTGCTGCTGACTACCAGATATCCAGGCCTCCTTCCCCCCTAAGCTCTGGACTTACCTAAACAACTGCCTGTGAGGCATCTCAAGACTCTACTTGATGCTTTCTAGACTTCTCATATTTAATGTCTCCAAAATCAAAAGCCTGGTCTCTCTACCAACACCTGCTTTATTAGTTGTCCCAGTAACTTGGGCCAAAACCTTTCCAAATATATCTGAAATCTAACCACTCCTCAACATAATGGCCACACTCTTGGCACTTAGGTTTGATGGCTTAATATGTGAAATAAATATTACAGTATACAGCACAATTCTGGTTCTCGTTGTAACTTTTTTCCCATATAGTGCGGCCTACTTATCTGCCCCCCCCATTTTTTAAAGGTTTTTTTTCCCAGCTAGCTATCTTGTTCACAGGAACATTTTCAGTCTCCCAATCAGGGAAGGACTATCCTAACCTCCTAGACTATGAACCTGTTGTAGAAGTTTCCAGGTTATCAGTAGACACATCTGAATGTTCAACCCTCTCGAAAACTCTCAATCCTTTTACTGCATGGGCCTGTGACACCAGTTTTTTCTTCATGGCCAGATGTCTGTTGCCTGATCTGCCCCTTCTCTAAGGCCATGTTAGAGAAGTTTGGTTCTTTCTTCTTGGTTTCCCAGTCATATTTTATTTAGCTTTTAGTCAAAATCTTATTTGATGTAACCCAGATGTCATTTGAGGCTATCCTTTCTTATGGAGATTTATATAACTGAGCCTAGCAGTGGTTTCTGAAAATTCCCAACCATACTTCTTGACAGTCTCCTCTGTTGCCTGCACATCTGTGAGTCCTCTTTCTTCATTTTATTTTAGCCCGTATGCAGACAGCATAGCTCCTTCATGATTTCACAAGTTCATTACATTTCCTTTATACTCAAAGATTTAAGAGATGAGACCATGCCTCAATTACAGAGCCTTCCAGCATCTTGCTGGCTCTACCCCCTGGAGGGCCACACCTTTGACTGTGGTTATCCCTGCTGTGTACAATGGGAGAGGAGGCAGCTATCCTGTGGCAAGAGCCGCCTCTCCTTCCGTGAGCTGCCTTGCCAGGCCTGTCTCCTTCCCTAGCCTGACATTCTGAGGAAGGAAGATTTCTCCATTTTTGCCTTGACTATACAAAATCCACCTGCTCTTAATTGCCTGGTGTCTGAGACACTTTTAGTCCTAAACATTGTGGTTCCTTTCTCCTACATCTTTTCCCTCCCTATTCTGTGGTATAGACCCAGCTTCTTAACTACTTCCGCCCTCCCTTTCTCAACAAGAGATCAGCCTTATATTTTGTCTCATTTACCCTCATTTGAAAGAAGCATTCTACTTGTCTCTCAGTATGACTCTGATAGTACCTTATCCTTCCACTGCCCTGGCCATCAACAACCTACGGGGGCCTTTGCAAATCTTTCTGAAAACCTTCTTCCACTGCTTCCCCAGTGCCTTCAAGTGATAATAATAGCAATAGTCGCAGCTAACATCTGTCGAGTATTTACCATATTCTAGGCCTAGTACTCTTAATCTTTTATTTTCATAACCCCTTTTAAATCCTGATGTTATCCGATAAGGTGGGTAATATTATCATTCTTTTTTTTCTTACTAGATGAGAGAATTGGGACATAGGGTAATTAACATCCCTGCAGTGATCTAGCTGGACCCTGAACCCTCAGTCTGGCTCCAGGGCTAGCTGTGATGACCTCTACGCTGTTCCATCTCTCAGTGGTACCCAGTAGATATTTGTTGAATAAATGAGAGGAAGAGAGAGAAAGAGAGTGAGGAAAGAGAGAAAATAAAGATGGAGCAGGGAGTATCTCCTTTAAGCATGAGCATTCATTCTCTGTGTGATATCCCGTTCTAGAAATTGCAGCCCACGTTGAAGGCAAAAATGCCATCACCTTTCATTAAATGTTAATGTAGTCAAGTCTTCATTTTTATATTCTAGGATACTGTGGCTATGTTAAAATAAAAAAGAATACTTCCCATGCTTATAATTCCTCTGGGGGGAGGGAAGGCGTTTTTAATAAACATGCTTTAAAACATACTCCAAATAAGTATGCTTATGAATTTTAAAGAAAATTACACAGAATAAACAGCTTCCTAATAATAATTTGCATTTTGCAGTGGTTTGCATTTGTCAATGTGCATTCATATTCAATGAACACATTTAATTTCATCAACATTCTTTTTATGGTAGATTTGTATTTCTTGGAGAAGCTATCACACTGAAGCCATCAGTTGGAATATTTATTACTATGAACCCGGGATATGCTGGTCGAACCGAATTACCGGAAAATCTCAAAGCTCTTTTCAGGCAAGTGTTGTGCTTGGCAGCTCAGCATCTGGCGCGCTCATGCCACCTAATGTTGTTGGTTTGTACTGTGAAGTGATTTGTTTTTACTCCAGAATTCCTATGGAAAACCCCTTATTATTTCTTTGAGATCTCTTTATAAAATGTACTGTCACCATGATCAATGAACCCTTTTGAATTGTAAGACCAGGACTCAGAATCAGTTTTTAAAAGTTATTGGGGATACATTTGAATCTTTCATATTAGTTTTTTTGTTATGATTGTTTTATCATAAGTATCATTTTTTCAAATTAGTAAATATTTGGAAAGTATAGGAAGGAATAAAGAAAAAAGAACAGTGTCACCAATCAGAAATAATGATTATTATATATTGTCTAGCCTTTCTATAATTTATATTTCTATTTTGTTAAGATATTATAGTAGGCATATTTTCTTTTTTTTTTTTTTGAGTTAAAGTCTCATTCTGTTACTCAAGCTGGAGGGCAGTGGCACACTCATGACTACCACAGCCTCGACCTCCCAGGTTTTGGCAATCCTTCCACCTCAGCCTTCCAAGTAGCTGAAACTAGTGGCATGTGCCACGACACCCGCTAAGTTTTGATTTATTGTAGAGATGAGGTCTCACCAAGTTAGTTGCTCAGGCTGGTCTTGAACCCCTGGGTTCAGGTAATGCTCTCACCTTCACCTCCCAAAGTGCTGGGATTACAGGCATGAGCTACCATACCCAGCATGATTTTTATTTGGTTCTCTTCATTTACTATTTTGACATATATATTTTATTATATTACTGAAAATTCTTTGGAAATATCATTTTATGTAGCTCCAAAATAGTCCCTCTCATGCCTTTGCCATAATTTTCTTAACCATTCCCTTTGGTCTGACGTGTAGGGTTTATTTCTTCCTTGAGCATATCCTCAACAACTTAAATAAATAGGAATAGTTTATTTCTTTTTATCACTGATTAATATTCTATTATATAGACATGCTACCATTTGTTTATTCATTCACCAGTTGTTGGACATTTGGGCTGTTTCCAGTTTGAGGCTATTATGAATAAAGCTGCTATGAACATTCCTATACAATTTTTGCATGCACATATGTTTTTATTTCTTTGGGGAAAATATCTAAGAATGGAATCATTGTTTTACATGGCAAATGTATGTTTTACTTATGAGAATCTGCTAGCTGGGTGCAATGGCTAACACCTGTAATTCCAGCACTTTGGGATGATGAGGTGGGAAGATTGCATGAGGCCAGGAGTTTGAGACTAACCTGGGCAACATATCAAGATCCTGTCTCTACAAAAAATTAGAAATAAATTCACTGGGTGTGGTAGTGCTTGCCTGTAGTTTCTGAGGTGGGAGAGTCACTTGAGCTCAGGAGTTTGAGGCTGCAGTGTGGCATGATTATGCCACTGCACTCCAACCTGAGTAACAAAGTAAGACTCTCTGTCTCAACAAAAAAAACAACAACAAAACTGTCAATCTGGTTTACAAAGTGATTATACTAGTTTACATCTTCACCATCAATGTATGAAAATCTTAGTTGCTCTACATTCTTGTCAAAACTTGGTATTGGCTGGGCTCAGTGACTCAGCCTGTAATCCCAAGCGCTTTAGGAGGCTGAGGTGAGTGAATTGCTTGAGCCTGTGGGTTTGAGACCACACTAGCCAACTTGGTGAGACCTCGTCTCTACAATAAATAAAAAATTAGCCAGCTATGGTAGTGCGCACCTATAGTTCCGGTTACTTGGAAGGCTAAGGCGGAAGGATGGGTAGCTGGAGCCTAGCAGGTTGATGCTGGGTTGGCCATGAGCATGCCACTGTACTCCAGCCTGGGCAACAGAGTGAGACTCCAACTCAAAAAACAAAAAAAACAAAAAAGTTGGTATTGTCAGTCTTAGCCAAACGAATAGATATATAATAGTGTGTTCATCATGGGTTTAGTTTGCATTTCCATGTTTGCTAATGATGTTAGAATCTTTTCATGCACCTATTGGGCATTTCCATTTCATCTTTTGTGAAGTACTGTGTTCTGCATACAGTTTCTTTGTTAAATACATACATTGCAAGCTGGGCTCGGTGGCTCAGCCTGTAATCCTGTGCCTTTGGGAGGCTGAGGTGAGTGGATTGCCTGAGCCCGCGGGTTTGAGACCCACCTGGGCAGCGAGACCTCATCTCTACAATAAATCAAAAAATCAGCCGGGCGTGGTAGCACATGCCTGTAATTCTGGCTACTCGGAAGGCTGAGGCGGAAGGATCGCCGGAGCCCACCAGGTCGAGGTTGCGGTGGCTGGGAGCGGCCACTGCACTCCAGTATGGGCGACAGAGAGAGACTCCAACTCAAAAAAAAAAAAATACATACATTGAAAATATTTTTCTCTCAATTTGTGACTTGTCTTTTTATTTTCTTAGTGGTGTCCATCAAAGACTGAAGTGCTAAGTTTGATGAAATACAGCTTATCATTTAAAAAAATATCTTATCCAAAAAAGTTTGCTTAGTCCAGGCTTGCAAAAATTTTCCACTGTGTTTTCTTTTACAAGCTGTTTGCTAATTTCCGTAAGGATTTTATTTTCTATTCTGTTAATTGCTGAATTATGTTGACTGATTTTCAAATGCTAAACAGTCTTTCCACATTGCATTTCAGGGATAAACCCCACTTGGTAAAGTGGTGTTATTCTTATTGGTATTGCTGAATTCAATATGCTACCATTTTGTTAAGGATTCTTTTAAATGCCATGAAGGATATTGCTCTGTAGTGTCCTTTCTTGTAAGACATTTGTCTGACTTTGGCATCAGAGTAATGTTGACATTATTCAATGAGTTGAAAGGGTTTTCTCCTTTGTTTCCTTAAGAGTTTGTGTAAGATTGCTATTATTTACTCCTTAAATATTTGATAGGATTAATCAGTGAAGCCATCTATACCTAAAGTTTTCTTTAGGGGAATCTTTTAATTTATTTATATATATTTTTATTTTTATTTTAAAGATGTGGGGTACAATTCAGGATTAGGTACGTAAGTGGCCATCATGCAGGTGAAGTGTGGGCTGCCTATTGATTCTCACTTCACCTGGTTTGGTATCAGATACCCTAACTGATGTTAAGGGGAATCTTTTAAATAATTAATTCAATTTTTAAAAATAGATATGAGGCTATTCAGATTTTTAATTTCTCTTGGGTTAGTTTTGATAATTTACATCTTTAAAAGAAAATATCCATGTTATCTAGATTATTGCATCTGTTGACATACATTTGTTCATACTATTCCCTTATGATCTGTAGTGATGTCCTGAATTCCATGCCTGATTTGGGTAATTTGTGTCTTTTTTCTCTTTTTTTCATTGTGATAAGCTAGAGACTTGTCAGTTTTTATTTGTTTGTTTGTTTATTTATTTTTGCGTTGGAGTCTCACTCTTGTTGCCCAGGCTGGAGTGCAGGGGCACTTTCACGGCCACTGCAACCTCTACCTACTGGGTTCAGGCGATCCTTTCATCTCAGCCTTCCAAGTAACTGGACACACATGGTGGATGCACGCCACCATGACTGGCTAGTTTATTTATTTATTTATTGTAGAGACAAGGGCTCACCAAGTTGCCTAGACGGGTCTCGAACTCCAGGCTCAGGTAATCTTCTCGCCTTGGCCTCCCAAGGTGCTGGGATTGCAGGCTAAGCCACCACACCTGGCCATCAGTTTTATTTTTTAGGAGTTCTTTAGGGTTCACAATACGTCTCTTTAACTATTCAGTGCTTTTTTTTTTTTTTTTTTTGAATTGAAGTATCACCCTGTCATCCAGGCTGGTGTGCTGTGGCACACTCACGGGCCACCCCAGCGTCAACCTGCTGGGCTCTGGCAATTCTTCCACCTCAGCCTTCCAAGTAGCTGGAACTATAGGCATGTGCTATCATGCCCGGGTAATTTTTTTATTTATTGTAGAGATGAGGTCTCGCCAAGTTGCCTGGGCTGGCCTTGAACCCGTGGGCTTAGGCAATCCCCTCACCTCGGTCTCCCAACATGCTGGGATTACAGGCTGAGCCACCGAGCCCAGCCTCAGTGTTTTTTCAAAATAATATGCCATTTAGCGTTTTATGCAAGAACTGCTAGTCTTTTGTGTGATTTCTTTCAGTTATTTTAAACTTAAAATGTGGTTGTTCATTCTTCTAGCTATTTAACCATTTGTATTTTCTTCTAACTTTTATAGTATTGCTATATTTTTAAAATCTAATCATCTGATAAGATCTGACTATGGTAGGTAACATGAATACTTAAGCAATTCTTTTTCCTAATAGTTAATCAATTATTCTAACATCCTGTATTGAATGTTTTCCTTTCCTTTTAATAACAGTTTTGTTAACATAGTAATTTTCTCTCTAATTTTCTTGAAAAATTCTATATAGAGAATAACTGATTTCAAAATAAATGTAATAATTGCAAAATAGTCTGTTAGAAAACTGGATACCTTACGGTATTTTGCTCTTTGTGATCCAGTTTATCTCATATGATGTTTTTCATTGAGGTCTTAAAATTCGATACTGTTTTGTGAGGTTTTAATAAATTGTGTTTAATTAAATGCTGCATCATTTATGTTGGGCATTATTACTTGTGTCAGCAAAGTCTGAAGGAAAATTTGGATGATGAAAGTATTATTTATGAGGGTAGGCAATGTTTCGGCCTTTAAAGTATGAGAAGGGACCCCCCAAGAAAGACTGGAATTATTTTTTGGAGGGCGGGCCCCTTGTAGCACAGATTTCCTCCGCTGTGTAAGTGTTCTGGGAACCCATCAGCATTGGTATGCCAGCTAGCATTGTTGTGAGAGGCTTCAGTTGGTTTTTATTTTGGAGATTCTTTCACTACATTTGTCCATTTCATGTTGGGTGATTTACACAAACAACCAACTCACATCATGCTAAGTGTTCAGCAGTTTTTTACCAAAAGCAGCATGACCCCCTTGCCCTACCATCCCTATTCACCCAATCTCACCCCAAGTGACTTTTTTTTTTGAGTTGGAATCTCACTCTGTCGCCCAGGTTGGAGTGCAGTGGCACGCTCACAGCCACCGCAGCCTCAACCTGCTGGGCTCAGGCGATCCTTTCACCTCAGCCTTCCAAGTAGCTAGAACTACAGGTGTTCATGCTTGGCTAATTTTTCTTAATTTATCATAGAGACGAGGTCTCACCAAGTTGCCCAGGCTGGTCTTGAACCCCTGGACTCAAGCAATCCTCTCACCTCTGCCTCCCAAAGTGCTGGGATTACAGGCATGAGCCACTGTGCATGGCCCGAGTTACTTTTTTTTTGTTTCCCCGGATGAAAAAAGTTCTCAAGGGAAAATGTTTTGCTGAGGTGAACAAAAAACAGAAGCACTAAAAGACATCAAAATTGACAAGTTCAAAAACTGATTTGAGCAGTGGAAAATGTGTCTGATAGGCATACTGCATCAAACGGAGAGTGCTTTGAAGGTGGCTGAAGTTTACACTGTAAGAATAAATACACAATTTTTAAATAAATAAATTCTGAATTTTGGGGGGTTCCCCCTCATATTTTGATTCCAACACTCACCAACCATATGGCCCATAGCATGTACTTGGACTTCTGGAAACTTCAGTCTGCATCTCCTTAAAAGGCAAATAAGAGGAGCAGCCATCTCATAGAATTGTGAGAATTAAGTAAGAGCGTGCATGAAAAGATTTTAGCACCCTATGTGGTACAAAGTAAGTGTTCAGTAAATATCAGTTGTCTTTACTAACGTAAAATAAAACAAGTCCGTCTGTAGCCTTTTCTCTCACATTTCTTTACCTGTGATATGATGAAGAATAATAAATGTGAGGAGAACATGGGGTCAGCACAGATAAGAGAGGCACTCAATAATTGCCTAGATCCAAAGATACTTTGAAGTTAGATGCTTAGGGTGAAAGTTAGATGTGCACAAAGTAGACTATAATTTTTATATTTACAAAAACAGGTGGGTAAGTATTATTGGAATGTATTTTAAGAAGTCTAAAATCATGGGCTTATTTATTGATTTATTCTACTCCTCCTTTGCACTTGACCTCTGTGGAGAGGAATTTTTTCAAACATTGCTGGTAATAGCGGCCGTCTTTGGGGAAGGACTTTTTGGAAGTCCCTCTTCAAAAGAAAGGGGTTTTGAAGCTATGTTTTTCTAAACACTGACCCTAAAAGTCTACCCAAGTTGATCCCAGGTGGTAGTATGCTAGGGGCAGCTTGGTCAAGCTTTCAAGAGCTGATCGCTAAATTTTCATGAACTTTGTGAGCTGGTTATTAAGCACAACCACTAACAAAAACTAAATTCTAACAACTTTTGTTTAAATAAATTGTATCAAAAACAAAGATAAATACTCAAAACGAATCACTTCATAATGACTTATTTTACTGATGCTTATACTCTTAAGGTTATTTATGATTATTGTTGTCTACACAGTCGTGGGTTTCTCAGATCTATGTTTAATGATGTTGTTTTGGTAACTTGAATCAGCTGTGGTAGAAAGATTTTTTTCCCATGGAAATCAGTAAATGCTGTTTTCTGGATCACAGGTTCTTAAACATTTACCAGCACACTGGTAGCCATAGGTAAAGGTTGATCTCTAGTCCAAAACATCATTGTTTATCTTTCTGCAGTGACAATTGACATACAAATTTTCTTTAAACTGTGCTTCTGCCGTTTCAGAGTGTCTGGAATTTCCTGTGTCCAGTAACTAGAGGATTTTCTTGTTTTTGTTGTTAAGAAACGGGATTCTCGCTCCATTGCCCAAGCTAGAGTGCAGAGGCATGTTCATAGCTCACTGCAGCCTCAAACTCCTGGGCTCGAGTGATCCTCCTGCCTCCACCTCCTGAGTAGCTGAGACCATAGGCATTCACCACCATACCTGGATAATTTTTAAATTTTATTTTTGTAGAATCGAGGTCTTGCTATGTTGCTCAGTTTGCTCTTGAACTCCAGGGCTCCAGCAATCCTCCTGTCTCAGCCTCCCAAAGTGCTGGGTTACAAGTACAAGCCACTGCACCCAGCTTTCTAGCGGACATATTTTAGATAAAGTGAATGGTCTTGTTAGCTGTGATGGACAGAAGTAATTATGACCTGCTTAGGAATGGTTAAAATGTTGGTACAAGTTAATCACTTGAGTTCAGCAATTGGTACTTATTACCTTATCACATTTTAAAACTCTAAGTTATATTTATTTTTCAGACCCTGTGCCATGGTGGCCCCTGACATTGAGCTTATCTGTGAAATCATGTTAGTTGCTGAAGGTTTTGTGGATGCGCGCGCATTAGCCCGAAAATTCATTACGTTGTACATGCTGTGCAGGGAGCTCCTCTCCAAGCAGGTGAGGGGTCCTTTGTTACTTTTTCTTCATTTTTATATCCCATTAAAACAGCTTTGAAATATGACTGCAGGGTAAGTTATCATTCAAATTACACTTAGACATTAGGAATATTTTTATATTTTTCATACATTTTGAAAATCTGTATTTTGCAATTCTATTCTTTTCTGAAATTGGGGACATTCTAGTTCTAGTGTTTTATTTGTGTCATACAGTTTTTATTAACGGGCTATGTGATTTTCTTTAAACTTTATCAATGTTGTCATTATAAATGGAATTTTATGTTGCCTCCCCTTCTTGGTGAGAATATTATTTTCTGTGAGAGAAGGCAGGGGTGTTCATAAGATTGATGAGGCAGGGGTGTTCATAAGAATGATATTCATATTTTCTGAAGAACATCTCATGGAATGTTAAAATTACAATTTTTTCTCATTTGCTGGTCATCCTTTATTTGAAGGTAGGGTTGGATTTTTTCTTAAACTTTTCTTCTTCAACTTTTGCCTTTCTGAAATGGGTCAGATGTATACACACTCTACTCTGCAGTCATAAGCTTCTCAAAGATTTATTGAAGTTGCTGATATGCCACAAAAATTATGTATCAGCATCAGTATTTTTAAATTGAGCTTTGTGGTCACTTTTGATTCTTGGTCTTTTGATGCCCTTTTATGAATTACTGGTGATGTAATTCTGCAGCTGTTCCAGAACGAGAGTATCAAAATACCACAGTTGCAACCACACAGTTGCCTGCCCTGCCAGATGTAATCATCTTAACTTGCTCATTGTCAGGGAAAGATGTGAAATGAGAGAGAAATGTGTGCTGTCCTTTTAATAACTGTAAATTCATATCAGGGGAGTGGCGTGGTGATTTTTAACAGTTGTCTCTGGGTAGTAAGATGATAGGTATTTATTTTTTTTTTTTTGAGTTGAAGTCTCACTCTGTCACCCA